ATACAGAATTGATTTGAAAAATCTAAAATGTTAACGTAAGTTAACAGCTAGAATGGGAACCAGAGATTTCTGACAACACTTGTTCTTCCTTAGTTTTATATAACGATGGTAATAGGTTTATGACAATGCAAAAGTATTTTGGTCTACCGTAATAGTCTTACAAATATTATATCATTAATAAAAACAATAATAATAATAATAATAACAATAACAATAACAATAACAATAATAATAATAATAATAATAATAATAATAATAATAATAATAATAATAATAATAATAATAATAATAATAATAATAATAAATGAAAACGGCATTGGTAACGACAACGAATAACGATAAAAATAACAGAAATAATAAAAATAATTATTATTATACTAACAATAGTGATATTAATAGCAAACACCACAATAATAACTGCAATTACAATGATAATATTAATTATTATTATTATTATTATAAACAATAATAATGCGAAATTAATATCATTATTAATAATAACAGTAATAGTAATAATAATGATGATGATGATGATGATACTAATTATACTAATAATTAATACCGTATTTAATCCTACCTTCAGTTTCCAAAAAATATATCCTCCTTCCTCTAGTTGTACGTGATTCATATAACGTTAATAGGGAGGAAGATTCTACTTGACGCGCTGTTGAATTTCTAAAAACACTACCAATATTAGTTGACACAATGATCCGTGGCGACTCATATTTACTTATCAACCTACCAATCCTGAACACCTTATCGCATTTGCGTCAAGAGTATATTTATATGCAATACTTTATATGTCAGTTACTATTAAAAATTGAATCGGATACATATATATTTTAAATAGCTCCCATGATTAATACCTTTACTGTATTGCTATGTATCTTGTAACATGGCGCACCTAAGATGATATATGATATTCGAATACGACTAGTTGAATATAAATTACTCGTAAACTTGAATTGCATCTTATCGGTCAACTGCTACAAATTATTCCTTAGATAATTAATTTGAAAACCAAAGCAAATATGGTTAAGTAAAACACCCATTAAAAACCACAGGGGTTTTACTGCGAATGGATTTATAGACCTCCGTAGGTACGTAACTGTATAATATCAAATAATTGTACTAAATAGGGTTATTTTTTTTTATATATTTCTCACTCTATCTCTTTCTAATATGGAAATAGGCCTAACAATAATTCTTAGTTATCATCAAGATATCAATTAATTAAATTCATGGGCGTAGACTTGTAGGGCTGGGAAGAGGGTTTGCATTTCCCAACTTTCCCGATTTGGACGTGGAGTGCCAGAAACAATTCAGACAGTACTGAAAGAACAATAATTCTTATTTATTCATTATTATTATTATGTAACAATAATGTATATATGCCTATAGTATATATGTAAGGTCTAATTAGTTTATATATAACAAATTATATTTTATATAGGTCTTTAAAACATTAATTATTATTTATAGGCCTAATGTTCACTAATGTGGTAGGCTAGTTAGATCCCAAACCATTAGAGCGCAAGTGAGTAATGATCTTGCTGACCACTGCTTTTAACAGCTGTCTCAAATTGCAAGAAAACGGTGCAATGGTTTTGGTTTCCTGCACTAGTCTGTTTTTTTCATTTTTCCTTTTTTGGTTAATTTTAGGTTCTTTTCTTTTTCTCTGTTCTTTGAATCTCTTACATAACTTTTTTCTGATTTTTCTTTACATTCACCTTACCTTTTACTTGGACATGGCGTTTACGGACCTTGTTTATTTGTGCCTTATAAATTAATGTATTTAATATATACCGGTATATATGTATATTTATGTTCAATTCTATTC